TAAGAAGCGTGTAACCGTTCAATTACAACTTAATTATGACAAAACGTTTTTTATTTAATATATCTGTATTGAAATAAGCTACATCTAAAATAGTTTACATTTATTACTCTATAATAGCATTTTGCTATTTGATCATTACAAAATAACTCTAAAAGATGTGATCTTTTTTTAAGAAATACATATCTGCGATCTGTTTTTACTTCTATTATGTTTTCATTAATTTAATATGGAATTTATCGCTTAAGCAACTTACACTATGATATATGTGTTAACTTACCCGGCTATCGGGGTAAATTGGCTACATTGCAGCATATTCGTATTTCATTTACTATAAAAAAACTATATTGTATACAGAATCGTTCCTGGCATGAAAATATAGAGAAAGGTTCATTCTATCATATTAATATAGTTTAATCACAATAAATAGTTGTTTAGAAACAGGAATGTCTATAAATTGTGAAAATTGTGCCAACGAGCCCCGGTCTCCCCTATATGACTAAAATTAATCATTATATACTTGTGTTTTTCCAAGTACTTTTCAGTTACGATCGCTCGTTATTATTCAAGTAAATTCCGAATCATCCTTGCACAAGTTTTTTTATTTGGAGATCTATGCATACAGCGATCGCAAATTTCCTCAGCATAGAAGGAGAGAGAGAGAGAAAGAGAGAAAGAGAGATCAACTGTCACAATACTGCAACACAAAAGTAAATTACAATAAAAAATAAATACAGGATCGAGTATAACAAAGAAAATTCATAACATGTGTAATAATAGAAACGAAGACATTTGTCCGTGTGATAACATATCACAAGTGACACATATTAATATAATTTGAATAAATTAATTTATTTTTTGATGTAATTTCATATTTTAATTTTATATTTTTTAATTTTTTTTTTCGTCAAAAATTATTTCGGTGCTATTTATATTACCTCACAATTGAATAATTAGTAATGACGTACTCATAAGAAACGACAAACAAAGGCAACTTTTGAATAAATTAATGAGTATTTTAAATATTGCTGCCAAACGAATAATTAAACCGCTCTAAATATAACTCTGTAAACAAATAATTATATTGATCTAAATATTAAATATACATAACAGTAGAAGAAAAGATTTAAAAAATCTAAACTTTTGAAGAATCCCTGAAAAATGTGTAAATATATTTTGAAAAATTCCTCAGAAATCAGTAAAAGTGTATAACAAATTAAAATTTTCACCGCTTCGATATTTTTCTGATTATTTTTAAACCTTTTAATAAATAGTTTTCCATTAACGATAGTTTACTCTTTAAATTTTCTGGAGTGAATCTCACTCCAAAAGCTTGAAAATACTGCCACTCGGCCATTTGAGTGGCAGTATTTTTACACCTTTGGAGTGAATTTCATTTCAATAATATTTTTCATTGTTGTAGATCTGGAGAGTGCTAGATCAGGTGGTAGATCTGGATTATACTATACTCTTTAAATTTTCTGGAATGACTTTTCACTCTTTTGGAATGAAATTCAAAAAGTCACTTCATGAAATTTAGAGAGTATAATATAATCCAGATCTACCAACAATGAAAAATATTATTTTGCATTATAAACAGCTATATTCTTTTTAATCTTGTCTATATTTCTGTTATTAATAATATAATATCTTTATTCATATATTACTTATTTATACATATATCAGTATTAAAGAATGTAAAACAAGGAAAGGAAACTATATAATAACAAAAAAAACGATCATTTTTATTTTATTGCTATCAGTTAGCTGTTAAAATTTCTCTGCCGTGAACAACGAAGCTTTTACTTTAAAAAAGGAAGCTTTTTCTTTTCTTTATCATGTCTTAATCCTTAAATCAAAATTTTCCTCTCGTTGGAATGTCACGCTGCAATTATAATTCAAAGTTCTTAGCAAATAAAATTATTAATTAGATGAAACTTATAACGGAGTAATTAGCTCAAATTTTCATTGCAACTTAAGTAATAAAACTTAATTAAATTATACGTAGAATTTTCTAATTGAAACGTATAAAGGACTGACGAGATAAAGATAGATGAACTTCGTAGATTTTGTTAAAGATCCTTAGCGTATCGAATTCTTTAGATTTGTATTTCGAGATTAATGTATTTATGTATAATAATAAAATGAGAAGCCAAAAATTATGAATTAAAATAAAAATTTTAGAAGCGGAATCTTTCGATTTAATTTCTCGAAATAAATATCATTTTCTTTTGCGCATCCCTTTATTCACATAATTTCTCTCACAGCTTGTGCGAGATAGCATCGACATACGGTGAAAATTCAGCTCAATGTGAATAGAAGTACCCCTTTCATTTCTCTTTTAATCGCTGCGGTTAGCTGCTCCGAGAAAATGTCGCTTCTCATCATTCGGCAAATGCTCGGCGAAGAGCAATTAATTGAGGCGAGCCGCGCTCACACCGCGAATAATTACATTCGCGTAAGGAATCATAATTGTCGTCGGTCGCTGTAAATGGATCGTTTCCCGAGGTACGTCGCGACCCGAAATATTCCATTCACGCCGGCTGTTCATCTTCGCCGCGCATTCTCGACCTGATGCTGCCTTTCTTCAGATCTGCC